CATCTATGAGCACTAATATGAATAAAAGATTCATCATATAATCAGCAAATTAAGTTCAGGGCATGCCTCTCACCACTACACTCATGATGAACTACTTAATGTCAAGTGTGTATACAAAGTTCATAAAATTACCACTATTGTCTCATGACAAAAATATATTTATAAACAACAGCACATTTGTTTTGTAGATAACTGCAACATAATCCTTCCACATGTATTGTTTTCTTTTGAATGTTAATAATGTGGTCACGTAATAAACGTGCCTTTTATACGTTAAGACGTTAATTACTGATAAAAACAATGCATTTTGGTGAATTTTTAAGACACTTCGGTATACTAGCCTGTGTTTTATTACCATAATTGCACTTACATTTATTCTCAAGTGACCCACGAATCTTTTTCATTCTGAAGTTTCAAATTTTAGAAACAGTAATCAAGATTACATTAAAGTTTATATGTTGACCAGAACACGAATGGCCGACGGTGTATACAGACCACAGTTCCCAGACCTGCTTATCAAATGTATGTTCTGAATAAGTATATTTGTGTTTATTCCTCATATTTTAGTAAGTTCGCATCAGGGACGTCTTAAATGAGCGCGAGTTCCATGTACAGAAGTTTGGTCTTTGCACTCTAATCATCGTCATTGTCGGTGCTGTGGCCCACACTTGACCATCAGACCACATCATCTGGAAAGGAATCTAATTATAATATTCCCTTACTTTGACCAATAATTAGCGACAGTTATAAGTGATCGGACATAATAACATGTAAGGTAGACAACAAGCTGGTCTCTAAATGCCTTTAGAAAATACAAACATCATACTCAAATCCGCATGATACCATTAAGCTTAACGGATGATTAGTCTATAAAATTCGAGGCATGTAAGATCTAATTGTTGCAATTACCACAGGATTTACATTAACAAGCTACTCAATTAGGTTGGTATGTCATAGCGCACACTGATTATGGAAAAATTGGATAAATATGAATGTTAGTAAAACTCATTTGTACAAAACTTGGCGAGATAGTGCAGGTTGTGTTGCGAAAAGAAACTGATGATTGAGAATATATTCAAGCAAAGTCCAGAGCTACCTATAACAAGAAGTAATGCCGTAAATGCATAACTAGTAAGTCAAAGACGTCAACTTTTACGTTATATTTTTTGCTTCCCGATAGTGTATTCAGATAAATATCGGAAATATTAGTGAAGGCACAGGTCAAAGTCATATGTTCCATAGATGTGTGTTTGGTGGTATATTACAAAAGTGATAAAAAAGATATAGAAGAAGGGAGACGCGAGGTAAATTTTACTTACGCAATTCATGTTGCAGGGCCAGCAAAATGTCACTAAGCCCTAGCCAAATCATACGACAGTTGGGTCATTGAATATCGAGCAAATCAGCTATCCTCGTCAAGGTCGGGGACAATCAACGCGCATCAGTTAGTCGTATGCCATGGACTGGCCCATGCGGCATCGGTCTCTTTATTTCGCTTGTATCTACTTTAACTAATATATTTCTGTAATAACGTCCTCTGTGTTGTACAGTCTTCGTAGCATCTATGGTACCTTGATAGGTCAACGGGGTAGTCCACGTTAAGTGCTGACCACGAGGTGTGACTTCGACATTAGCTAGTTTGTCACAACATTTACGTCTAACTCGAGTAGGCCTCCGATCATTTCGACATACATCATCTACGTTGGTGATCTACAATGTCTTTCCTTATACTAAATGCTTCAACTGTAGTAAAAGTAGACTCATAGTAGATTGACAAAATTACTGTTCATTTCGTCACCATGGATGACGAACCCTGCAAATTGGTAGGTGTGTTTGAGTCGTATAACTTTAAAGAGTGTCCAGTAAGACTAATGAGATCAGAACCAATGTCGAAGACCTAAAGAACTGTTTATATTAGAAATTTATTTACTGCTACACATTTATCCTAATAATGACAACAATCTATTCATTTCTTATTGGGAAAAAATATCTGATCATTTAACGATTCCACTACAAAATAACTCATCCTCGACATTCAGAGGTTCAAAGACTTAACCGTCAAATATAACCTCTGTCAAAACTTCTCTAATATCAAAATGCTAGTTGCTTTAAGAGACTGTGAGCTGCCGCATCGCCGTTGCTTTAATACCGTTATTGAAACTTAAAGTCCTTTAACACCCAGATAGAGTATATGTAATGTCAATGGATCAGGAATTGCGACAGTTATATTCACAGCCAAAGAGCGAAGACAAAAGCTCATGGAACTGGAAATACAGCAAGGAAATTTCCAATATAAAGTGACTTCTCAAAAATATAACAGTCAAAACATTTGCGAATTGTCAGGCTGAAATCTATTATTTTGGCACCCAAAATATCATCGTAGTCGAGCAAATTTGTATTGTGAAATCATGTTTGTTTTATGTTGACGAAATCAAGGCACTTATTCACTAACAACTTATCGTTGTAGACTTTCTGTTGATTTGGTCTTTCGGTGATAACATTTGTTCTAGGTGCTGTAACTGTCGTTTGATATCAGTGTTCCGATGTTTTGCTTTCGGAATAACAAACGGTTGAAGTTATTGTAGCAATTTGTTCGCCTATCGACAACAAAGTTTCAACATCAATTATTCTACTAAACTCCACAGACTGGCTCGATCATGATAAAAGTGTGGTTGAACTAATAGTTTGTTTCCAGTTACAGGATTTTATTTAGTTGTAACAGAGAGGTGCTTTTTTATCTTAAAGAGACTGCTGCTTTAAGATCGAAACACAGTTCGCGCGCTAGTACAATACTGGTGGATGGTAATGAACGTTATTGGATCTGGGACACGAGTTAAATTTCATGTCAGTGATAAGGTTGTAGCAATTCTCAGTTTTTTGTTTGCCTACAAAGAAAATCAAACGTTCAGCGCGTTTGATGGGTTTAAGTGTGGTGAGAATATCATTTGTTCATCCAAATACTACAGTACTGATTAAATTACTCAATCATCATCAACGAATGAACAACACTGCAATTAGTTTTTCATCATATTATTTTGCATTACCCGTAAAGTTATCTTTTCACTGATGAGACTAAAACAAATAAAAGACTTTGAAGGTTGTAACCACTATTCACAATTTCTAGCAAAGGGTGACTTATCTTTCACAAATAAATTACACAAAAATCCGAATAATGATCTATCTATAAAGATTAAACAGATGCAAAAATTTTAAAAATGATAGGTTGTTTTATAACTGTAGGCGTTTAATGGAACTGCATCAATGCACGAGCTTGTAATAATTTGTTATACAACTGAAATAAGCCATAGTTTCTTGTGCAGTGACAAGTAGCTCCCTAAAATAACCCTCTATTATCGGAAAACTGATTTTGACCTCTTCCGGTTTAATAGATAATACCGAATGAATGTATTCAATCAAGCGTCGAAGAATAGTCTAGAAACAACCCATTAGAGATTCTACCGTTTTATCAGGTGTCCGGTTTAGTGTTCTTAGATATATCCACTTCTAACCGTGTTGAAACGTATCCGTCTATTAATCCTTAATATTTACCTCCTAGTTTACTGCAGATATACAATCCTTTAGTTGTTTTGGATTTGAAAAAAGTTAAGTTCTGTCATGATTAGCTCGTATTCACATATGTGGAGAATAGATGACTGAGGCTTTTCATCGAGCTGTTAGTTTTATTTAATATCAGCTCGATCACGATAAATCAAAAAAAGGGAGTCAGCAGGCCACGAATCAACGAATGAGGAAAATATGCACACGTGATACGTTTTCGTTTTCGACCACTAGGTTGTGTAACAGTCATTAACTGGTCAAAGCTAAAATGAGAGAAACGCCATTTTACGATCTATGTATAAATCAAAACTGTATACAATGTAGAAGCGTGGAGAGTAGGCAATATATTTAAATATGGCCTCTCGAAATATAATATCGTGAAAATTCTGCCTCGGTCAACACAAAGAACCTAAACTCTCAATGGAAGGTCGCTCTTGATTGACTCTTCAGAGCGTGATCCCGAAGCTTGTAACAAAAGAAAGCCTAGACACCAGTTTTAACACGATGGTAAATTCAACTCCCCTACTTTATTTGTAGACAACTTCAGAGGTTTTCCCAACGCCGTTTAGAACAAACTTTCTGCCTCTTCTTAAGGTTTAAAATGTCATTACGCCTCCTCTCTTCAAAATAGATAGAAATATCTTAGACCAAGTACAAAGGTGAGTAACCAAGTAGGTGATAAGGCTAAAACACAGATCTTCCAAGGACAGACTACAGCACCTACGATTATTATCTCTGAGCTGCAGGGGAACAAGAGGTGATCTGATAATGAAACACAACATATTAAGTATGCCGAATCGCCTAAACACGAACATATTACCAGATCATTACTGATCTCCGTGAGGCAAATAGTCAGCACCAAAGTATGCTCTTACGTTTTTCCATTATAAGTTGCCTGCACTCGAAACTGTCTCTCAGTCAAAGTGATCACATACCCCTCAGTGGATGGAGACTTGATAAAAACGTAATCACCGATGGATTACCATCCCACGCTTAGAAGAACTTTGTCTGATACATATCACAGAAATTACCATGGTTATCACTACAACATATCAGTAACTACTTCTTATCTCTCTTATCATTATCGTCGCTTTCGTTTTATTCTTCTAGTTTCGTCCTCTGACGAATTATCAGTTAGGTAAATTAATTATCTATCCTTGATTATAATTATCTTCCCATAGCACGTGAATTATCACATTATTTTCACACTGCAACCAACCAACTTCCTGTCCGATAGTTTGATATTCGTTGGTAATCAGAAACCTTGATGTTCTGAGACAAACTTAGTGACTCAACTACAAAATATAATAATCCAACAGTAACTACCACACTGAATAGAAGTAATTCGGTCGAGTCACTGGATTATCGCCAACAAGCTTAGAACATAGATATTGAATATTGGATTAGTCTTTGTTTTTCTATCTTAAAAGTCCTAGATACCTAGTACAAGCTGTTTGATTGTTTAGAAATACAAGTTTACATATAACTTCTGCTCAGAAGACACAAAAACTCAAGAAGTGTATGGTTATTTTTACATCTAATATCATTCGATCGACGTTTGCGTGATAAGCTTGTTTACAAGGGTGAACCTCATCCGCAATCTTTTATTTCGCGGATTAATTATGACATGTTATACGACAATCACTAAGTTAATAAACTTTGAGAACTTGTCATACGGGATCAGTCAAAAGCTAGTGCTTGGTTTTCGTTTTGTTAGAATGACTCATGGGGTGACAAATGGATCTCGGAATTATTTTGACCAAAAAACGTACTTGAGCTTCCAATTTTGAGGAAATTTTGGGGAAATCCCCAAAGTCAAATGACCTTGACCAAGGTTAAAGGGGAATTTGGGGGATTCCCTCACGTCTGGGGAAATTTTGGGGTTTTTGTGCCATTTCTACAAAACTTACCATAGCGGCTCCCCCAAAATTTGCCAAATTTTCCCCAAAGTTAAGAGCTCGGGTAGTTTTTACAAACATTTAAGTTTGTGAAGTGATAATATAACAGAAATTATTCGTTTATCCGAAAATTAAGATAACTGACCGAAAGTTTATTAGGATCAGACAATATGAACACATTTGGCCAAACAGGTTGTTAGTCCCTGAAAGGTAACATTTGGGACTACCTTTACATTGACATGCTGGCTGCTTCTTTCTTTGCGCTTTGTTATTATCGTCAGCCATCTTCGACAATAATACCTCAGAGTATGTAGATGGCTAGATAACTGTTTGTATGATTTTTCTATTATCAGCCATAAATATATGTATGTATATGTGTGGTTGATAGTAATCTACAACCCAATATGGTTGTAGATTTCGAGAAACCACACAGTCTGTGCGTACTCATTTTTTGGCAACAAAAATAAAGACGGTTTAATAACCACTTGAGCAGGGATTTCGTCAGGCGCAGATATTTAGCTAAAATTAGTATTTAACTCGTCTATGAAGCCACATACTTAGTTCATAAAAGCTGATGACTAATACTAAATAATTTAAAAATTAAAGAAAACTATCTTCCAATTACTTTTATCTACATAGTACCAAAATATCGAGTTCACATATGAAGTCGCCTGGCTTTACTAACTGAGGTTCTAAGTAGAGAACATAAATAAACGACCAAAAATTACTGGACAGTTCCAACTTAACAAGATCTATTGTCTTTTTCTACTGGCTGTTAAGAAATAGCCTATATACTTGGTATTAATAATTCGTGATTTATTTAGGACAACATACCAAAGTGATTAGAAGATTTTTCTCATTTTCAAACATTGGTAATACATTTAGTTGTGTTGCTTAGATTCACCTGTTCGTATGAAGAATCATGAACGTGGTTGTGTATTTGAATATAAAACTCCAGCAACAGTTATAAAAATAAATAACTAAATTAACTAATTCATAGCGTAGAACTATGGTTCAAATGGATGATTTCAACGGAATTTTATTTCCTAAACTGGATGGTTTGACTGAAAAGCTCTTATCGTCTTTCTAAACAGCATTCAGGTAAATGATCTAGCAAAACACACATTCAGTAATTTAACCATCTTGCCTATTCTGAATGGATGACTTAGAGGTCGGTTTGTTTTTTCATTTGCTTGTCTTATCTATAATAAGATTTTACCCATGATCGACAAGTACGCAGAAAACTAGATTATCAATAAATAGACTCAAAACCAAATATGGACAGCATTTTCATTTGAAAGCAAAATATCTTTGGATCACACTACACACTATTTAGTTTAAAGGTTAGCTTGAGCACTATTATTTCCATATTACTATTAGGAATACTTGCAGTTTTCGTCATGATAATTTTGGAAAGCACTTTTTCAGTTAAAACAAAACGAAGTAAACACAATACCGTTTACTAAATAATCACTAACTCCGGAAATGAAAAAAAAATCGAACATTTATATACATACTGAAAGGTGTGAAAGCAGACTAGACATTATGCTAAAAAGGTAAATATCGGAAATTTCTTGTTGTGAAAGCAGAATAAAGAAGATATTTCCTTTCACGAGTCTTTTTTTATGATTTTAGTATTTTCGAACTACATACTACATCTTGTCTGCTTTGTCGACCCTTTCTTATATATCAAAAGTTTGGTTGCCTTTCATCTGATTGAGTCCTTTAGTCACTTGTTAAATACAACAAACCACCATCTACCTTGTTGCACAATGTTGGACAACATAGAAGTAGGCTAGTGAAAAGCTTCAGTCAGTCAAACAAAATATTGGCTACTGTAATGAGTAACATCGGTAGCATTAGACTGCGGAGTTCTTCCTTTCTTGATAAGCGTAATTCATATAACCCGATGTTGAATAATATGGCCTAAATTCCGTATCAGTAACCCAATGAATTCCACTGAAGCAAATACATTTATGTTGTTTATTAGTATATGTAGTATACAATGGGTTTACCGACGTAATTTAGTCAGCATGTTAAATCGTTAGAAAACCTTTTTTTGTTCGAATTAAGTAATGATCAGTAACTTTTTTCATTTTTTATCACTTAATTCATATTTGTAACAACCTGGTCAGCACGTTTACAGTAAATATTATTCTTACGTCTCCGGAAACGTTTAGAAACCCATTAATTCACTGTACATATTTGATATATTGATGTCGTTACAATTCGTGTGTTTTATTGCTTTTTATGTTATAATCTGTGCCTTATTCATTCGATAGATTGCAAATTTTAGTACAATATACAAGTTGAGCATTCTCCCACTGACTATAAATCAATAGAAGAACAGACGAAAATGGCACCAAAAAGAAAAAAGAAAACCGGGAAACTAACAAAAATGACTGATGAAGAAAGAGCAATTTTTCTTGAACAACAAAGAGTTGCTGAAGAAGAACTAAAAACAAAAAAGATGGCACTTTTAACTCAATATCTACAAGTCAGTTTTTAATATAATTCCCTTCAATTTGAAAACTAACGACTGTTAATATAGGATAAACTTAATCATGAAGAAAAGTTTACTAAACTTAATAAAGCAAAACTGACACATTATTGGCGAACTATTATGAGAGAGACGAAGTCAAAAGAATTGAAAAGAACTATAGAAATATTATCACAAACATTTGAAAGAATTATGGACCGGTAAAGCGTCAATGTCTTAAATTTTTTATCAATCTGTTTGTTCAATATTTTTCAAAGAAAAGAAAGTATCATCAAAACACTTGTTGCGGATCTTAGTGAGGCAGATGAACAGCATTTGATGGCTCTGCGTTCTCATCTACAGAATGTAGATATTTTAATAGGTAGATAGCGTTTTTCGTTTGACCTAAAGAACTTATACTGGTTGATTATTTCATCATGACCTGTATATCACACCCAACAGTTTTTTGCCCTTGAATTTGTTGCTTGCATCGGTCGATTAGATAGTCTTGGATGAAAGATATAAATACTACTCAAAAATATTTGACTCGTGGTAATAAAGCTTTCCAGGTTGCAATAATAATAATCTCACGTATAAATGAAAAGTAAGAGGAACACATTTGTGGCATTCAAATCAATTTCACCTGCTAGCGAGAAACGTCTGTCAATTTACGATGCAGTGCCTTACTACTTTTGGGACTCGCTAGTGTATTAATTAATTCTACTAACTACTCTGTTGTGAGGATCGTATTCTATAGAATCTTACTAAGCAGATTAATAAAAGAAATCGTAGTGAACTTTTGAATAAATATCCGAGAATTTATTTATTTATGTAAAATTTAACCATACAATATAGTTCAATCAGTCAACTTTTTAACAGAATTTCTTTGCGTAATAACCATTCATGTAACAATTGATTATCTGACGAGATATCAATATTGCGATATAGTTGCATTAAATCATATTTACTATCATTGTCAAGATGTGATATATTTGACCAACACTATTTGGATTATGTAATGAGTAGCTGAAGACATTGTTGCTCATCAGTGATGTTTATCATTATCATGAGTAATTCATTATTGTCAACCACTTGAACGTCCATTTCGCTAATAATAGTCAGTCATCACTATACTATTTGTGGTATCGATGAAGAATTAAGCTATAAAATCAGCTTTGCACATTGGTTGTCATTGTTAGATAGATATATTCAAAAATACTATATTTATGTGCAGGCAAATAAATGGGTGTTATGCTAAGCTGTAGCGTATTATTGGTTTGTTGGTTATACTATTGCAATTAATGGTTGTCATTTGGTTGACGTTCATTTGTGACAATTCGAACTTTTACTGGTTATCAGTAAAATTTCAAACGTTTTTGATGTCATACAAGTTACAAACAAATCACAAGGTAGCCACTAAAAATTACGATCTGTGGTAATAAAAATTCATAATCACGCACAGTTGACGACTGGAACTGAAAAACACCTTGTCTGCATAACAAAAGTAAATGAAAGTATTGTGAAGGAATCGTAGAGGGGAATTCATAAACTAATAACAAAAATAAAAAAACCGTTGGCGGTCATAGTTCACGTAAGAAGTACATAAACCTTGCGAAGGCTCTTTACTCGAACACTACCAGTTGAGTCAGAGCCTATGGCGAACTGTCATCTGCTTTTGCAACCTCAAACGGTGTCCGTTAAGGCTGTCCACTACCTCTGTTTTTTGTTTAACTTCATCATAGACCGACTGATGGAAATAACGTTCACGTCGACTGAATGATCGGGCATTGAACTTGATATGATACAAAGAAGAGTCAATTTTCGACTGATTTACTCGTTATGAGTTTTGTTCAGCATTACTTTCCTTCTCATTCAATGTGATGATCATTCAGTGTAGTATTTGATTTGTTTTCTCAGTATGATATTTTCTTCTGCATAATATACGATATTCTTGTATTCACCTGACATGAAGTATGCTCAGTAAGTGATTTGTTATAACTGAGTATGTGATTTGATCCTAACTATTAATCAAAATGGATGTACAATCAATGTATAAACCAGTGTATTCTAGACTATATTGATTCGTCGTCGTCATAATGTTTTTGAGCTAATAAATTTTCACTTATACTAGTCTTGTCTTCTTACCTTCGCATCGTGAGAATTGCCGAGGTCCCTCATTCCGAGTATAAGTGATCAGCGTTTTTCCGGCACAGCAATCAGCGACGACCGAATATAACAGATCTCCTCCCGTGAGGTTTGCTTATCGACTTAGAATACGCAGATGACATAGTCCTTTTTGGTGAAGACGCTGATAAAATGCAATCTTTTGGTATCACTAAGCAACAATGCCAGAATATTTGGAACGCGCTTCTCTCCCTCTAAATGCAAGTTGTTGCTTCAGGACTGGTCTGCGTCAACATCTGAACTAAGGATAGGGAGTGAAGTAGTCGAACGCGTCGACAACTTCAATTATCTTGAAGGTCTGTTCAACACTAATGGGTCGGTGTCTGACGAAATCTCAGCACGGATTCAGAAATCTCTTTTAGCTCTTTCCGACTTACATCACCTATGGCTAAGGAGAGATACCCGTTTATCAATTAAGGGACGAGTATACTGTGAGACAGTTCGTCCTGTTCTACCTTACGGCTGCGAAACGTGGGCATTAAGGGTAGAGAATACTCGTAAGCTATTAGTATTTGATTACAGATGTCGTAGAAATATTGCTCGCACCTTCTGGGATCAGTGGGTAAGTAATGGTGAGGTTATACTCAGAGTATTAGGGAATGCTGGTAAGTCAGTTGATGAGGTTGTGAATCTTCACTGACTAAGATGGTTAGGCCACGTGTTGCTTATGCCTGAACACTGATTACCATGACGTCCAATGCTAACCGGTGTTGCGGATGGTTGGAAGCAGATTAGGGGCGAACAAACAAAAACGTGGGATCAGTTCATAAAGTCATTAACTTCTAGTCTGAGCCATGTCGGTAGATGCAGACTACGTGGTTGGGGTCCACGCGGCTAACGTAACCAATGGTTGGAGACTCTTGGTGACATGGCTCAGAATCGATCACAATGGTTTAGGTGTATACACTCCCTGTCTTCCCTTAAACTATGAGATTAAATCGCTTCATATCTTTCTTTCTATGTACTAGGCCTTTCTTCCTGTACTATATCCTAATATGAAATCTGTCTTTTATATATTGCCACCATTGACCTAACTACTCTTATGAATCTGGTGTTCATCTTGATGTGCTAATGCGGTATGGCAACTTGGACCGATGCACATATGTGCCTGGTCCTACGTTGTAGCTGACTGACTGATAGTTCACGTAAAAACACTGTGTAGAAATTTTTTATTCAAATATGAGTATTTCTTGTTAAAACACAAAATAAATACACAGCAAGATACTGGATTCTTTTCATTTCGATATTTAGCAATATTTCAATCCACTATCTAGAAATTATCGATTTTTCAACAAATGTCAACCTTACCATTATACCCTCTATATTTGCCATAGGTTGAAAGTACTTCTAAAGAAATACGAACTCAAAGACATTTTATGAATATAGGTAAATTGATTAGACAAAGGTCGTATTTGCTAATTGGTCTCGATTACTGATAGTTCCAGTCTTACACAAAAGACAAAAATCCTCTTATGGCAGCCACCAAGAAATCAGGTTGACTAATATAATGTCTAAAACACCTACGCTTAACTAGGCTCGTGAAGAGCGAACTTTATCAAATCATGTTGGTTTTAATACTGGACATGGATGTGTAGACTAAACATTCACTCTTTGCAAGATTGTGGAACACAGACATACCTAACAACTTCCATCCCTAGTTGTGTTTCTCGGCCTTAAGGCAGTGTTCTCCTCTTTAAATCGACAAGTTATATTAGCATTTACTATCATTTAAAGAAAAACGTCAACATTATCTGGAATTCATATGGTGGATTACAGTGCAAAGTGCTGCATGGAAGACAGCTGACGGATGCTTCCCAAGTAAGGACCAGAGCCAAAAAGACTGTCTACTCTCCCCTTCCTCTTTCTTCTGGTGGTCGATTGGATTATGAAGACTTCGACGTCTGAGAGGAAGCACGGAATATAATAGATTGCTCGGAATCAATCAGGAGATTAAAATTTTGCGGATGACCTGGCCCTTCTATCCCATACACATCAACAAATGCAGATGAAAACAACTAATATCGCAGCAGCCTCTGTATCAGTAGGCCTCAACATACACAAGGGAAAGAGCAAGATCCTCAAATACAATACAGAGAACAACAACCCAATCGCAGTTGATGGAGAAACTCAGGAAGAGGTGGAAACTCTCACGTGCCTGGGTATTATCATCGATAAACAAGGAAGGATCTGATGCAGACGTAGAGGTGAGAATTGGCAAAGCAAGAACCTCATTCATATAGCTGAAGAACATATGGAACTCAAAAACACTGTCAATCAATATCAAAGTCAGAATCTTCAATGCGAACGTCAAGATAGATCTACTGTACGGAGCTGAAACTTGGAGAATTACCGCGACTATCATCAAAAAGGTACAAGTATTTATAAACAACTTTCTACGTAAGATTCTGAATGCCCGTTGGCCGGATACCATCAGTAACAGCCTACTATGGGAGAGAACAAACCAACTTCGAGCTGAGGAGCAAATTAGAAAAAGACGTTGGAGGTGGATAGGACACACATTGAGGAAATCATCAAAGTGCATCACGAAGCAAGCGCTAACTTGGAATCCTAATGGGAAACGAAAAAGAGGAAGTACAAAAAGCACACTGCGTCAAGAATTGGAAGCAGATATGAAAAGGATGGAGAGCAACTGGAAAGAACCGGAAAGGAATGCCCTGGACAGAGTTAGATGGAAAATGTTTAGGAGTAGCCTATGCTCCTCCATGAGTGATAAAATGCGTAAGTCAGCAGTTCAGTATCATTTAAAGATGTATCAAAGGAATATATTACTTTAGTCAAAGTTTTCTCGAATATTATAATATTGGATCAAAGCATGTAGGAAACTTCCATCGTAATTGATGATTTCAAGTGCCACAACGATGTACACATGTGCAAGGCTTTACAATAGGTTGGACTGACTTCGCAACATCGTTCATCAATAGAAATACCTAAAGTTAGGTGACATATAGTGTCAGCACGGTTTTCTTCTCCAGCAAGAAATGTAAGTACATTCTGGATATTCACAACATTCTCCAACATTCATTTTATAAAATTCACTAGCACATACTTCTATAATGAATCTGTATTCATTCCCTTACAAGATCAGTCGTCCAATTAAGTCCTTCTCGTTGAGTAATTAATGGTTAGGAAAATACTAATGACTGATTCGATTTTGTAGCTGTCTTATATAAAACAGTTTAATAAGGTGGAATTTAACATGCTTTATTTCAATCAATATGAGATAAGGAGTTGATGATCATCATTACGTAACTATAGTGGTACTTAAACAAGAGTTAATAAAATAATTTTGTCCTATTTGTTAGGTGTAATTAATTTTCTCACTTCATCTTTCTTATGAAAATTAGATTTACAAAATCAAAGATTACATAAATTAAAAACTGATTATGAAAAGGAATTGCACTCTTTGGTAGAAGAATTCTTAAAAGGTAGATCGTATATATATATATATATATATATTCTGTATTTAAAACTGTTCAAATAACATACTTTTCCGCAAATCAGAAGAAAACTTTACTAAGCAACAACACGATAAACAAGTCAATGACTTAAAAGATATATTTGTTGCACTGGATTCTACATATACTGCCAAAGCACATGAAGCTGTAATTGATCAGACTAGTTTGAAGGATGATCTGAAGAATAAAGTAAGTCAATTGATATTTCTATGAATTTTATTGACTTTGAATTTAGGACTTTAGATACCACTCATGTTACTAAGACATTAAAATAGAAATACAATTTACTTGAGCTAGAATCCACAATTTTTCATCCCAGTACAGTTAAGTAATATGGTTATATCCGATTTAAACTGACATGAACTTTTAGATAACGTATGTTTTGGTTAGTTTTAAAAATCCCCCTACTCTCACGTTTAAAATCAAACAACAGAAGGTTAGACGAGTGATAACATTTATCTTTACCATCCAGATTTCTGGTTGTATAAGTACAATACCAAGGTATAACATTCAGCTTTTAAAAATCTTTATTCATGCATAACTAGGACATTACTTTTACAAAGCTCTGTAACATTAATTATAATTAAGTGACTTTAGTTTATAAAGTATAGACGATATTACAGCAGTAACCAAGTTAAGCGTTTGTAGTGGAATCATCGAGTGAGTAGTGATAAAGTTGCCCAGAAAGATTCAGATAAAGATGAATCGGCTGATAAAATCATATGCAACGGTGATCATTAAATTGATTGAGAGATGTGATACTGTGACGTGTGCTGCTTATGTCGACAGACATAAGTAGTATGTAACATTGTTTTGTCACCGTATCCCACTTTAAAATAATTAGCGTAGGCCGAAGAGATTTACATTAAGCTAAACAAGTGAAAATCAATTAATGCTAAATGGGAGGCCACCAGGCCACTAACTGTTGATATGAGTTAAGTATGAAAGTGGAAGTTTACTTTCATCCTGACGTCAAAAGTAAAAGTTGAAGACTGTTAGTTGTATTGTCGAAAATAGACTCAAGATCCTCATTTATTACGTTCTCCGCTTTTAAATTTTAGTTTTATGCACATATATAATGTCTACTCATATATTATTCATCGTTTGGTTTTTAATCCTAGAGTGTTCATTAATTTTTTATTTGAGGATAATATTTATCATGAGCTGATATCAGTTATAGGGTTATTGAAGACTAGTGGGTAAATGAAGAGATATTTCGCGTAACTTAGAACTCTCGATCAATGTGAACCAAATGGTGCTACATGGAATCGATCCTAGGACCTTTCAGCTTCATAGAGAGAATTTTATTTATACACCTGAGTTAGAATTCATTGGTTTAGATATTCAACTTCTGTGAGTTTTGACAGTGTTATGCCCAATTAATTTTGTTGTCAAAGTATCACTTCACTGCCGATACGGTTGACTTCAAACCCTGTGATGCTAATTTGTGTGGATTTTAATATAAATCTGATGTATTTTATCGCTTTTCTAATTCACTGTCATCCACAAGCTTGATTAAACTTCTGCTACGTAAGTTATGTTACTTAAATTTGTTATATGTAGTAAACAATGATTCGCATATATTTTTCATATAGAGTTTGGAGGAAAAACATACATTGAGAATAAATTTGGAGAATAAGGTCAATAGTTTGTGGTCTGAATTCAAGCAGGCTTCCACTCAATACACAACAACTACCAATGAAAAAAAGACATCTTTCGAAAACTTGAAAGCAAAAGATGAACGTTCAGCTGCTGAAATTCAATTACACTTAAACAAAATCCAAAAAATCAATGATAATATATCGGCTACTAGACGTCGCATGCTAAAAACATCTAAGGAATATGAAGAAAAAAATCGCAACTTAAAAGAAGAACGTGATAAGTTAGTTGTTCGATTTCAAGTCTTGAAGATACAAATCAATAAATTACGTGATCTACAACATGAAAAACTGGTTAAAATGTCAGTTGAAAGTGGAGATGCTATAAAAAAGGTAACTGTGAAAAATGCCAATTGTTGGTATTTCTTATGAGACTACGTAGTCATGAATAGTAGATTTTTTAAAATTCTCATTTATCAGTGCTAACTAAAATTCAAGACAGTTCAAAGTAAATGACTGCCTAGCTTATTCTAATAAGAGGATGGACTCAATCACAGTTAGCATCTCAAAGAGGGAATAAGCTACTATGAAATTCACAAATGAAAGCTTAGTGAAATCAGTGTAGTTATATATTCAGTTTTTATTTGCTCTTAAACGTTTGTACTGTAAATGAATTCATGTAATTTCTAAAAAAAATTAAATACAGGTTCAATGTTTATTGGAAAAAGCAGAGAAAATTATTAAGTTAGGTGAACAGTGCAGAAAGTATGAGACAGAAGAGGAAAAAGTTACACCATTCTATTCATCATCTTTATCAGCGGAAGAAGAAAGTGCTGTGCAAGAATCGTTCGAAAAAGAACAGAATGAAGAGATGATGAAGGTGATATGTTTTTAAAATTTCCTTTGTTTTATCAGTTTTCTTACTTTTCGGTTTGAATATATATATATATATATATATATATATATATATATATCAGTTAGAGCAGTTTATTTTCTGAATGATATTCAGCTAGTCTTTTATCGTTTCACCTTTTGGTTTGCATAAAATTGAAGTGCTCCTACTGGCTTGTGACCAACGCCTGTTCCCAATGCAATTGGGACTTCCTTTATTTTCTGCATATGTGGCAGGATAATTCGTTTTTTAGTCTCAATATTCGATTTTGTACTTATTGATGGAGTTGATAAACATAGTGGCTGTCCTGTTGAAAAGATCGTTTTATTTTGTTCCGCATTTTTTGCGTGGTAGTTATACTGCTATATCTTCGCTCTTCCGAATAGCAAGTTTGTATGCAGTTGTTTTTGATCAACTTAGAATTAGTGCAACATAGGTTGGTTTATGATACACAAAAGTCTCTGGTTTCCTTGTATTGATTCTGGTGATCAACACATCTAAGAAGACTAGTCAGTTGTTTGCTTTCTTTTTAAAGATGAATTTTATATCATCAAGTATATTATCGATCAAATTATAGGCGTTTTCGAGCTTAGCTATTAAACCAACCAGGTCTAGAAAACGTAGCTTCAACAAAAATCATCATCGTGAGTTAGAAAATCTTCACCTTCATCTCACATGTTTTCCTTTCAAAAAGCTCACATATGTCAACGGAGAACAACCAGTTTAGATGAGCAATTATTTCTGTGTGAAAGTTTTTAATTATTTTTAGCTAATAAATTAATTTATAATAATATTCTGTTTTAATTTTTGAAAATTTCAGATATTAAAACGATGCCTTCCACTTGAAATGTTTTGGAAAAGATTTAATAAAGTTGAATTAGATCGTTTAGCAATAATAAAAGAATACAATATGTTAGAACAAGAAAACATTCAATTAAAATTATTATTGAAACAATATTTAGACGGTATATCAGTTAATAGTGAAGTTATATCTGGTGATAATTCATTAATTGTTATAAATGGACGATCAAATTTAAAGTGAGTTTTATAAATCTGATAATATTAACCCTTAATGGATATTTGTTTTCTGCTTAAGTGATTATTGATTATAATGTTCTACATTTAAGTGTTATAGCAACTTGATTAGTAATTGAATCTTGTTACCAAAGTTTTAACGCACGGAATAGTTTATTACTCTTACTATAAAGCCCAAGCCTGTTGTAAAATGTTTGATAGTAGCGTCTTTATTGTCCCTTATCATCACAGTAAATCTAGTACTCGAAGTATAAGCACCATTAATTACAGAAAAATTTCACTTTTATAGGATGTCTGAGACTGTACCAAAAAAATCAACTGATATTAACTCGTAAATACTCGAAATAGATTTCCGATAGATCACGAATATGTTCGCCGTCTCATACAGATAGTAGTGAAGATCAACATCACCAATGGAACTGGAATTTTCTATCGATGACATTTTGACACATGAAATTGATATGGGATGCAAAAGTGTTACCTCACTTCATTTCCTTCAGTATTCCATAATGTAACATAAGATGCAGTGTAACGCAGTAACTAAACCATATTCTGTTTCTACATAAAAATCCAACCAATACAATCCTATGTTACAATCGATGAATTTCTAACGATCATGGTTATCCCCAATTAATTTAGTATACCTGCAAAAAATGACATGTTTTCTCATTAATATTTTTTTCGTGTTTCTTTATTTTCTTTTAAAGACACATGAGCATAATAGATGATCCACGAATTAGATTGATATCTACTGATGATGATAGTGTACAGCCGAAAGAAATGATAAACTATGCTACTACTCCCGCCGCAGTTGACAATCGAATAAGACAGACAACTTAGACAAAAGGATTCTACAACAAGAATAATATAAAATCCAAGGCAAGACATAACAATGATGAGGATTTTATGTGATTTACTATATGCCTACAAAGTAATTCAATGCTGAATCAAATTAAAGAAGTGGCTGATATAGAAATACATTGTTCATAATAAACGTTTTGTTCCTCGTTGAAAAACTTATTCAGTTAACTAATTGCCAAACAGATAAACTTTAAGGGAAACCAGTGCTATAAATATTATAATACTTTTATGGCCTTTTAATTGACCGAAGTAGTTAGGGCATATTTCAGGCATGGATAACCACCGCTTTCGTCGATGCGATTTTAGATAGCATAGTAGTTGGTTGTGAAACGTTTAGGGACAACTGTATCATGAAATTATATGGATTCACATAGTCTGTTGTAATATGTGCCAAATGGTTTAGACTTCTTCGTTGAAGTCGTCCTTATTAAAGATTTTTTGGTGTTAATTTGAAATGCGACAAATATTCAAAGTTAAAAATCTTTGAGTCATACATTTGTCTATTCGACAATACAGTCTATGATGTTCACAGATCTTCGAACTGCTTGAAAGAGAAAACAACTCGAGGTGCATAATTACTAGCTGTTTCTTGGTTTGTATGTAACAATTGGAATTGACCGTTGTCTTAATCGACATTGAAACATGAGATCTTTCTGTCAGTACGTCTAAGTATCACCACGTTACAACAGGCATATCAAGCTGAGTGTAATACGGTTAACTGGGTCCTTTCATACGAACCTAAGAATTGTCTGAAGTCAATGAATAAAACTTGAAAGAAAGTACATTCAGTCTTCTTAGATCAGTCTTATGATTTATTTAGATAAGAAAGAAATTGAATGCTCTTATGATAACTGAACAGACAGAGACTGACTAAACACTTCGATCTACAGGGAACTATTTAAATTAGTCGTCTTACTTGAGAAAATCTAAAATAATTGGTGACTTCTCAGTTCTCAATGAACGTGAAGCGATCAGAATATCGTCAGTTTTAAGTTTAGAATCACACATTCCAAGAATACACAATGTTTGGTGATAATAGTTTGATTATGTAATACAATATGTGGTTTCAGGAAACTACGGATACTACTATGTAGGATCTATCCACTGAACAAGACAGTATTTTTATGGGTTGGAAATGAAGATGAGTCAAAAATGCACCTCAAAAACAACTCATACAACCTAATTAGAAGTATAAAAATATAAAAACATAGGTCTTCAATATTTTCATCATCAGCCTCAACAGTTCATAAATTCATAATTTTACGATAGTGGTCGAAATAAAACACACAAAAATAAGTTGTAAGTGAATTACACAATTTTACATATTAAAATAGTAAACCTTTACATTGACCACTTCTCAAATACGTCCGAAATTTCCCAATAATTAAAAAAAGAAACACTTTTACTGGTCAGAAATTTTATAAAAACTAATCACTTCATAAAATGCACAAATATGCAAAGAATATACATGAGATCATCACATAAAAAAGTACACATTCACAAATGTTAACGTAATCATTCTTACTATATCAGATAAAATGAAGAGAATAAAGACATACATATATCACAGTATAGATACTTTGAAAACATTTCTGCAATTATTGAATACTACATTTTACTCATAATAATTAGTATTAATCGAGTAGCATAGAAACTAATAACGAACAAAATGCTAATAGCTAAGTGGTATATAACAGTTCCTCACTATTTACACATGTTATATATATACATATTTTTTTTATTAAATCACAATAATAACAAGAAAAATAAGTGAAAAAGAGAGGATAGAGATAATGAAAATGATATCGGAAAAATAAATTATTTTTACAATTTCTTATTTGTTTGAAATGAATAAAGGAAACAGATGTTCTAAATTAATCCACACCTCTAAACGTGCTGGACAATGTGTAACATCTGGTCGACGATATGATGGTCCCCAACCTTTACCTAAACTTATATGTATAATCGGATTTTTGCATAGATTGTTTTTTTTTGCCCACAAATGAGTTTTGTGCAACTCGTTAAAATCTACATTATTACTATTATTGTTATTACCACTTAAATTACTGCTGTCGCCATTATGGTTGTTACCGGAATACTGACGACAAGATGATGATGACGCTGAAGATGATGAAGAAGACTGTTGTTGCAACCAGTTTTCATAACATGAAAGGTCGAAAACTAATAGAGAATAACCGGCTGGTACACGATATACGGGTCTATCGACAAGAAAGTCTTCAGTACTACTATTAAGCGATGAAGAAGAAGAGGAAGAAGAATTAGCATTATGAAACTGCAAACAAGGTGATGATACAAATATAGGTAAGTTTGTAGCCATCGCTTGATTACTTAACCATATACAACCATAAGTGGTAAGTGTAAGCGAAATTCCCTGGCTGCCTAGACGACAACATTGTCTCCAACCAGAAGATGATTTATACATTGATGAATGAACAATTAAATTTGGTATTAGAGATGCATTGTTGAATGAATCCACATAATTATAACACTTTTTGCATTGTTTTGAAGATGATCTGATGATACTACTGTTATTACCAATAATCCTATTCGTATGACAAGCGATAGAGGGAGTGGTCGAATAATTCTGAAGTTCATTAAAACTTCTATTACAATCTGATTTACAATTATATTTTACATGATTTGATTGATATAAAGTTAGTAAAGATAAATATATATAATCACTTTGAGATTTACTTCTATAATTTGAATGATTTTCCTTATGTATATATGCTTGTTTCGGAGATGAATACAGCTTGTCCTTTACATCACTATTATTATGGTCATCATCATTAATATTAACATCATTGTAGACAATATTTAATTTACGATTTGTAATTTGATACCATCTACGTCCAACATGATGATGTGATTCCCAATAGGAAATATTTGCCCATGGTTTAAGATGGTGTAGAGGAGAGGGAGAAGAAAGACGACTATGTAGGTAAGATTTCTCATTATTTATTGTAACAGAATGATCGCTGATAGAAATAAATCGGTTAAAATGTAGATTAGAATTTTGTAAAGGGTTATCATTTTTAGGGTTGTTAGAAGATAAGATGAAACTACAACTATGCATTTCATCATCAGAACTACTTACAGATGTGGAAGTAGTTGTTGTTGGTGGTGGTGAAAGTAGTGTTGTATGATTGAAATCTGTGGATGGAACCAAGTAAGTAGATAATTTAAAATTTCTATTGTTTTTCAATTTCTTCCATTTGGTTAAAGATGAAACAGGACTTACTAAATTCATGTGCAATTTTTGTTGTATTTTATGAAGAAACTGAGGTGAACAGTAAGTCAGTTTTGTTTTTGCATAGGTATCATGATTGGCAAGCAACGGAGCTGAAGAATTATTTATAATTGGATCATATGATATAACTAAAGAATTAAAATCGAAAATACAAATATTCATGAATGATGTGCCAAACAGAATAGGATTACTTGTAAAATTACCAAAATTAAATAGTTACAGGCGTAAAGACTTCTTAATGAAACTTTCAAAAGCGAATGGATAAAATTTTGGTCATACTAAGGTCAGGAGTGAGAAATTAAGTCAAAGCTGAAAACATATATATCATACATCTTTAGCTATCGCCTACTCGAATGAGTTGTTTAATATGATGGAGTGGTGGTTTAGTGGTTAAGACGTTCGACTTTCAGTTGTTAAACTCAAGGTCCGAAACCCCTTCATCTAATCCAGTTTCAGTAACCACGTGGCCTTATTAACCTTCACATTTAGAGAGTGGCTCGTACCCAAGTGCCTAGCGAATGCAAGTCAATTAAATAGAACAAAACCAGAAAACCTATCTGGAGCATAAGATGATAACAATCAACCCTTTAGAGAAAACCAGGATATCTTGAAACTGTGGTTTGATTATTAATTGAATTAAACACTTAGTAGTTTCACCATTTTGCCTCCAATCATTGGGCTGTAAGTTTAAATTACATTAAAGCTCTGCTTATGGTAGCTGGTTAATATTATTAACCTTATTAGACAAAAAACATGGCTTAAAGTCAATTACATAAAAATGTAATTTGGTATCTATTTGGGCAAATTAATGATGGATTGCTCTTCAAACAACTGGAAGGATCATATTTAAAAGGGAAGCTATATGTACAAGAATTATCCTTCCTCCTGGACGAAAACTGTTACCACCAAATCGTAATACAAGCCTGAACTGAGAAGCCATTTTTTAACCAGTGATTGTTTACCACAAAAGATACCATATTAACGCTATTCCGTATTTATTTAAACCATTGACATATCTATATATTCGGCTTTACAAACGTAATAGTGTATTCTTTATCTTGAACAAAATTTGAGGTATCCTAAACTGTGAACTACTAATGTTAGTTGTTTTTAATATATCGAAGTGCGATTGTCAAGACACTGCAGTATTACAATACGTGTTAATCGATAGTTATCATCGACACAGCAGCAAACAGCAAGAATAAAATGACATGTAAATGATCATGAAAACATACGGTTTATGGCGAATATCAAAATTTTACAACCACGATTTAATAATCTTCAGTACCATCAAGTTATGTAAGCAAATCGCTTTCGATATGGTTTGAAATATTGTGCATTCATTTCATAGAGAAACTAACAATATAGGCAAAATTTTAACAATAAAGTAGGTGTAGTACATACCACCACAAAATTTACAACAAACTAGAGCATATATATGTATATCACCCTACCTGAATCACATGACTGATCCATCCGAATTAATGAGATTTGTGTTTCTGCAGATGTCGATTCTGTTGACGATGAGGAAGATGATGACGACGAAGATAATACAGACGGTGGTAGTAATAATGGCATCATATCCTTAGGATATTCTGAATCCGTATTTAATCCCTTAAGATGAGATTCATGATTACTACAATTTGGATGATTATGTTTCAATCCCAGACAAACAATATCTGTAAAATTGAAGGAATGAAATATATTA